GCTAGGTTGGCAGAAGCTAGGGCTGACAGCGGAAGCTCATGCCGCTCCCCGGGATTGAACCTGCAACCTTTCGATCAACAAGCTCAGCAGCTCAGTGCTTTAACCCACTGCGCCACCGGGGGCTCCTTGGTAGCGGGGTATAAATAAAGGATTATTATTATTATTATTATTATTACCCCAGAGCATTAGCAACCTGTCTTTATCATGGGCCAGATCTTTGGGGGGAATCCATTTAGGCCAGTGTCGATATTCCATAGCAGTGATTCCCAACCTTCCTAATGCCGCAGTCCCTTAATACTGTTCCTCATGTTGTGACCCCCAACCATAATATTATTTTCGTTGCTACTTCATAACTTTAATCTTGCTACTGTTATGAATCGTCATGTAAATATCTGATATGCAGGATGGATTTTCATTCACTGGACCAAATTTGGCAGAAATACCCAAATTTGAATACTGGCAGCATTGGGAGAAAGGACTGATTTTGTCATTTGGGAATTGTAGTTGCTGGGATTTGTAGTTCACCTACAATCAAAGAGCATTCTGAACACCAATGATGGAATTGAACCAAACTTGGGACACAAAACTCCCATGACCAACAGTCAATATTGGAAGGGTTTGGTGGGCATTGACCTTGAGTTTGGGAGTTGTAGTTCACCTACATTGTTTTGGACTCAAAACAACAATGGATCAGGACCAAAGTTGGCACAAATACTCAATATGCCCAAATGCGAACCCTGGTAGAGTTTGGGGAAAATATACGTTGCCATTTGAGAGTCGTAGTCGCTGGGATTTATAGTTCAGCTACAATCAAAGAGCATTCTGTACCCCACCAACGATAGAATTGAACCAAACTTGGCACACATGGCCAACAGAAAATACTGGAAGGGTTTGGTGGGCAGTGTCCTTTGGTTTTGGAGTTGTAGATCACTTACATCCAGAGATCACAGTGGAATCAAACAATGATGGATCTGGACCAAACTCTACATGAATACTTAATGATAGTATTGATAGTATCAATGATAGTAATGATAGTATTGGGCCAAACTTCCCACACAGAATCCCCATGACCAACAGAAAATGCTGTGGGTTGTTGTAGGTTTTTTGGGCTAAATTGCCATGTTCTAGAAGCATTCTCTCCTGATGAGAAGTCCTCACAACCTCTGGAGATGCTTGCCATAGATGCAGGTGAAACGTCAGGAGAGAATGCCTCTAGAACATGGCCATATAGCCCGAAAAAACCTACAACAACCCAGTGATTCCGGCCATGAAAGCCTTACGACAAAAATGCTGTGTTTTCTGATGGTCTTTGGCAACCCCTCTGACACCCCTTCATGACCCCTCCAGGGGTCCCAACCCTCAGGTTGAGAAACACTGTTTTATAGTTTCCAAAGGCTTTGCTTTTTGCCCAGGACTTCTTTCTTTTTCCTTCCTTCCTTCCTTCCTTCCTCCCTTCCCTTCCCTTCCCTTCCCTTCCCTTCCCTTCCCTTCCCTTCCCTTCCCTTCCCTTCCCTTCCCTTCCCTTCCCTTCCCTTCCCTTCCCTTTCCCTTCCCTTCCCTTCCCTTCCTCTTCCTTCCTTCTTTCCTTCCTTCCTTCCTTCCCTTCCCTTCCCTTCCCTTCCCTTCCCTTCCTTCCTTCCTTCCTTCCTTCCTTCCCTCCTTCCCTCCTTTCTTTTTTCTCTGTGACTACTTTGCAGGGTTGTTTTTGTGCACACATAACAAAATTCTGAGATATATTTCCCCAGAAAATAATTCTCCCCACTGTGGATCTTTTGACCTTCCTAAGGGTGCATCTACACTGTAGAATGAATGCAGATTCACACCTCTTTAACTGCCATGACTTAATGCGGTCATGGTTTTGTCAGCCGTCCCTCCCCAAGAGTGTTGGTGTCTCACTGAATTATAACTCTCAGGATCCCATTGCATCGAGCCTTAGCAGTCCATGTGGTGTCAAACTGCATTACTTCAATAGTGTAGATGCATCCTTAGATATATAAGCCTTGGTTTTGGTACTTTTTGGTGGAAATCCCAGATCCCCAATGATGAGAGACTGAAGGAGAGAGAATGAGGGAGAATGAGAAAGAATGAAGAGAAATTGAGAGAGGGGGAATGAGAGAGAATGAGAGAGAGAGAGAATGAAAGGAGGAGATAGAAATTGAATGAAAAATAGAGAATGTTTGAGAGAAAGAGAGGCTGAAGGAAAGAGAGAATGTGTGAGAATGAGAAAGAATGAAGAAAAAATGAGTGAATGAGAAAGAGACAGAATGAGTGAAAGATAATGAGAAATAATGAAGAGAATTAAGAGAAAATGAAAAAGAATGAAAGAGAGAGAATGAGGGAGAGAAAGAATGGAAGAAGGTGAAAGAATGAAAAAGAGAGAATGTGTGAGAGAAAGAGAGAATGAAGGAAAGAATGAAGGAAAGAAAAAGAGAGAGAGTGAGAAACATGGGAGAGAGAACGAGAAAGAGAAAATGAGGGAGAGAAAATGGAAAGAGAATGAAAAAGAGAGAATGTGAGAGAAAGAGAGACTGAAGAATTGAGAATGAGTGAAAGATAATGAGAAAGAATGAGAAAGAGAGAATGAGGGAGAGAAAGTATGAAAAAGGTGAAAGGAGAATGAAAAAGAGAGAATGTGAGAGAGAAAGAGAGAATGAAGGAGAGAAAGAATGAAGAGAAATGAGATAGAGAATGAAAGAGAGAGAATGAGGGAGATAAAGGATGAAAGAAGGTGAAAGATGAACGAAACAGAATGAAGAATGAAGTAAAGAGAAAATGAGAGAGAGTGAGGGGGAGAGAAAGAACTAAGAAGGAGAAAGGAAAAGAGATAATGTGTGAGAAAGAATGAAGGAGAGAGAGAATGAGAAAGAATGGAGGAAAGAAAATGAGAGAGACAGAATGAGAAACTAGGGGGGAGAGAGAACAAGAAAGAGGGAAATGAGGGAGAGAAAATGGAGAGAATGTTTGAGAGAAAGAGACTGAAGGAGAGATAATAAGAAAGAATGAAAAGAAAATGAGAGAATGAGAAAAAGAGGTTGAAGGAGAAAGGGAATGAGTGAGAATGAGAGAGAGAAGCAAAGAAGGAAAGAGAAGGAGAATGAAACAGAAAGAGAGAATGAAGGAGAGAGAGAAGGAGAAGGAATGACGGAAAGAGAAAATGAGAGTGAGAGAGAATGAGGGAGAAAAAGAATGAAAGAAGGAGAAAGAATGAAAAAGAGAGAATGTGTGAGAGAAAAAATGAAGAAGAGAGATAATGCGAAAGAATGGAGGAAAGAAAATGAGAGATAGATAGAATGAGAAACTAGGAGAGAGAGAGAATGAGAAAGAAGGAAATGAGGGAGAGAAAATGGAGGGAATGTTTGAGAGAAAGAGACTGAAGGAGAGATAATAAGAAAGAATGAAGAGAAAATGAGAGAAGGAGAGAGACTGAAGGAGGGAGAGAATGAGTGAGAATGCGAGAGAGAAGGAAAGAAGGGGGAAAAAGGAGAATGAAACACAGAGAGAATGAAGGAGAGAGAGAAGGAGAAGGAATGACAGAAAGAGAAAATGAGAGCGAGAGAGAATGAGGGAGAGAAAGAATGAAAGAAGGGGAAAGAATGAAAAAGAGAGACTGAAGGAGAGAGAGAACGACTGAGAAATAAAGAGAAAGAATGAGGGAGTGAAAGAGACTACAGGAGGGAATGAATGAGGGAGGATGAGAAGAAAAGAAAAAGAAGGATGAAACAGAGAAAGAGAGAATGAAGGAGAGAGAGAAGGAGAAAGAATGAAGGCAAGAGAAATTGAGAGTGAGAGAGAATGAGGGGGAGAGAAAGAACGAAAGGAGAATGTGTGAGAGAAAGAGAGACTGAAGGAGAGAGAGAATGAGTGAGAGATAATGAGAAAGAGAGAATGAAGGAGTGAAAGAGACTAAAGGAGGGAGGATGAGAGAGACAAGGATAGAAAGAAAGAGAAGAATGAAACAGAGAAAGAGAGAATGAAGAAGTGAGAGAAGGAGAAGGAATGAAGGAGAGAGAAAATGAGAGATAATGAGAAAAGAATGAAGAGAAAATGAGAGAGAGAATGAGAAAGAGAGACTAAAGGAGGGGAAGAATGAGAAAGAAGGAAAGAGAAGAATGAAACAGAGAAAGAGAGAATGAAGAAGTGAGAGAAGGAGAAGGAATGAAGGAGAGAGAAAATGAGAGATAATGAGAAAAGAATGAAGAGAAAATGAGAGAGAGAATGAGAAAGAGAGACTAAAGGAGGGGAAGAATGAGAAAGAAGGAAAGAGAAGAATGAAACAGAGAAAGAGAGAATGAAGAAGTGAGAGAAGGAGAAGGAATGAAGGAGAGAGAAAATGAGAGATAATGAGAAAAGAATGAAGAGAAAATGAGAGAGAGAATGAGAAAGAGAGACTAAAGGAGGGGAAGAATGAGAAAGAAGGAAAGAGAAGAATGAAACAGAGAAAGAGAGAATGAAGAAGTGAGAGAAGGAGAAGGAATGAAGGAGAGAGAAAATGAGAGCGAGAGAGAAAGAACGAAAGAAGGAGAATGTGTGAGAGAAAGAGAGACTGAAGGAGAGAGAGAATGAGTGAGGAAAAAAATGGAGAGGAAGAGAAGACGATGCCACAGGGCAAGAACAGGAGAGGAAAAGGAGAAACAGGGAAAATCAAGGAAAGAGAGAATGACAGAGAGAGAAAGAGTGAGAAAGAATGAAGAAGGGAGAAAGAGAGAGAAAAGGAGTGAATGAATGAGAGAGAGGATTGGGTTCATAGAATCATGAAACCACAGAGCTGGGCCAGAATGAAAGAGGGAAGGAGAAAATGAGAGAAAAGAGGGGGCTGTTAAGACAGGATATCTATCCCTCTTGTCAATTAAACTTGGGGGGGGGGTGAAGCAAGGGGCCTTTCTTCTCCCCAAATGTACACCCCAAAGCCCCCTCCTTCAAGGACAGCCAAAGGGGAAAACCCATTTCCCCCCCCCCCCCCCCCCAGCATCTTCTTGCCTTTGGGCAGGCGCTGTCCTCACCTGCTGGTGCTGAAACCCTCCGGCCTGCTCCCTCTTCCCTTCTTCTCCTGCCTCCTCCGCAGGGCCGTTGTTGATGCTGCCTCGGCTGTTGATGCTGCCTCTGGGGCCCCATTTCCTCCAGGCCCCCCATTGGCCTGGGTCTCCCCACTGTCCCCCTTTCCCCCTTCCAGAGCAAGCCAGAGCCTCCCTCTCCCCTCCCAGACTGGCTGCCTAAATTTAGCCTCGCCAGAGCCTCTCCTGGCCTCCCTCCCTCCTGGATGTGTCACTTCTCTCTCTTTGCCTGCCTCCCGTCGCCATGGCAACCGCTCTGGACCACCTCTGGGATGGGATGCTCCGGTAAGGAAGGAGCAAGGACTACCCCCCCCCAAAGAAAATGCACATGCGCACTAGGCCCCACTTCCCTCCATATCTCTTTTAGGGGGCAATATAGGGAGACACCATCATCATTAGTATCCCACCTTACTCCCATTTGTGGGAATCTGGGGGTGTTGACATCATATGTCCAAGGAATGCAAGCTGATTGGAGGAGGTGAAATAGAAAGAGATTATTATTATTATTATTATTATTATTATTATTATTATTATTATTGGAGGTGAAATAGAAAGATTATTAGTATTATTATTGGAGGTGAAATAGAAATATATTATTATTATTATTATTATTATTATTATTATTATTATTGGGGGTGAAATAGAAAGATATTATTATTATTATTGGAGGTGAAATAGAAAGATCATTAGTATTATAATTGGAGGTGAAATAGAAAGATCATTAGTATTATTATTGGAGGTGAAATAGAAAGATATTATTATTATTATTATTATTATTATTATTATTATTATTGGAGGTGAAATAGAAAGATTATTAGTATTATTATTGGAGGTGAAATAGAAAGATTATTATTATTATTGGAGATGAAATAGAAAGGTATTATTATTATTATTATTGGAGGTGAAATAGAAAGATATTATTATTATTATTGGAGATGAAAAGAAAGGTATTATTATTATTATTGGAGGTGAAATAGAAAGATCATTAGTATTATAATTGGAGGTGAAATAGAAAGATCATTAGTATTATTATTGGAGGTGAAATAGAAAGATATTATTATTATTATTATTATTATTATTATTATTGGAGGTGAAATAGAAAGATATTATTATTATTATTGGAGGTGAAATAGAAAGATTATTAGTATTAGCACTTTAGCATTAATTAACAACTATTGCACTTTAATTATCAGAACATCGTATAAGCTGATATAATTCTCCTTGCACTTAAGAACTCAGTGAATTCCTTGTTTGTGTTTTTAGCTCCATTCATGTCATCGTCCACCCTATGGCAATTGTTAATCTTGCTGCTAGTTATTTATTGCAGAGAGTGGGAACGGAGTAGCTTAGGAAGACCTGAACACAACATAATAGGAACGGAAAAGGATTGGAATTTAAGGCCATGGCAACCTGAAGCAGTAACACATCAATTGGGTAATAATGAACTGCGGGTTGACACCACGGCGACTATATGCGTCATGGAGGAGGGAGAGGCTTCCGTTAACCGGGGAGCCCCCATAGATGTCGTGGTGGGGAGGGGGAGATACGGGAAAGGGAGACCTTTAATTCGGCTTAGGGAACGAATTCGGCTCAGGGAACATGAAAAAACATTAGTAATTCCAAATCGGTCTCCTGATATGGTAAGTTGGTGTAACCAGGATGGCGGTCCCTCCGGATTGAAAGTGGTGCTGTTGAACGCCAGATCTGTCAATGGTAAAACAACTTTCATCCAGGATTTAATCCTGGATGAACGGGCAGATCTGGCGTGCATCACAGAGACCTGGTTGGACGAAGCGGGAGGTGTAAATTTAACCCAGCTTTGCCCACCAGGTTTCTCTGTGCAGCACCAACCGAGATCCGGAGGGCGGGGAGGCGGAGTTGCAGTGGTCTATAGAGATTCCATTCTTCTGACCAGGGCCCATCCCGCAGTCAACAAATTTTGAATGCGTCCACCTGAGGGTGGGTGACCGGGACAGATTAGGGATTCTGTTAGTGTACCGTCCACCTCGCTGCACTACAGTCTCCCTGCCTGAGCTAGCAGGGGTGATCTCGGACCTGGCATTGGAGTCCCAACGGCTACTTGTGCTGGGGGACTTCAATGTCCACGCCGAGACCGCCCTATCGGGAGCGGCTCAGGACTTCATGTCTGCCATGGCAACCATGGGGCTGTCCCAACAGGTATCTGGCCCCACTCACAGTGCTGGACATACATTGGACTTGGTTTTCTGTCAGGGATGGGAGGAAGGTGGCGGTGTTGAGGAGTTATCCATCTCTCCGTTGCCATGGACCGACCACCACCTGGTCAGCTTTAGACTCACTGCGCCCCCCAACCTCCGCAGAGGTGGAGGACCCATTAAATTGGTCCGCCCCAGGAGGCTTATGGATCCTGATGGATTCCGGATGGCTCTTGGGGAATTTCCCGCCACCGCGGTTGGTGATCCTGTTGATGCTCTGGTCGCTCTCTGGAATGGGGAGATGACTAGGGCAATAGACACGATCGCTCCAGAACGTCCCCTCTCAAGTAGCCGAGCTAAACCAGCTCCTTGGTTCACTGAGGAGCTGGCAGCGTTGAAGCGAAAGAAGAGGGAACTAGAGAGCGTGTGGCGTTCGGATCCGAGCGAGCCAAATCGAACACGGTTTGTGTCCTTTTTAAGGGCATACGCCGCGGCAATAAAAGCCGCAAAGAAGACTTTCTTTGCGGCCAATATTGCGTCTGCAAAGAACCGTCCGGCTGAGCTGTTCCGAGTTGTCAGAGGCTTATTAAAACCCAACATTCAGGATGGGTGCCCTGATGACTCGGCAGCCCGCTGCGAAGCGTTTGCTCAGTTCTTTGCAGACAAAGTCGCTTTGATCCGTTCTCCGGCCTGGACACCATATTAACGGCAGTATCTGAGGATGTAACACGAGCATCTGCTTGTCCGGTTTTGATGGATTCATTTCAATTGGTTCAATCCGAGGATGTGGACAAGGTGCTTGGAGGAATGAGAGCTACCACATGCATCCTAGACCCCTGCCCATCCTGGCTTCTAAAGGAGGCCAGAGGGGGATTGGCCGAGTGGGTTAAGGTGGTGGTTAATGCCTCCCTTCGGGAAGGCATATTTCCAGCCAGCTTAAAGCAAGCTGTGATAAAACCGCTGTTGAAGAAACCATCACTGGACCCCACTCAATTCGTCAACTATCGGCCTGTTTCCAATCTCCCCTTTTTGGGCAAAGTCATGGAACGTGTGGTGGCCTCACAACTCCAGGCATTCTTGGTAGACACGGATTATCTGGATCCGGCACAGTCTGGCTTTAGGCCGGGGCATGGTACCGAGACAGCCTTGGTCGCCTTAGTGGATGATCTGCGTCGGGAGCTCGACAGGGGGAGTGTGTCCCTGTTGGTGCTGCTCGACCTCTCAGCGGCCTTCGATACCGTCGACCACGGTATCCTTCTGGGACGCCTCGCGGGGATGGGTCTTGGAGGTACTGTTCTGCAGTGGCTCCGCTCATTCCTCGAGGGTCGGTCTCAGAAGGTGTTACTGGGAGACTCCTGTTCAACCCCACAACCTTTGTCTTGTGGGGTTCCTCAGGGTTCAATACTGTCTCCCATGTTGTTTAACATTTACATGAAGCCGCTGGGCGAGATCATCCGGAGTTTCGGAGTGCGATGTCATCTGTACGCAGATGATGTCCAACTCTGTCACTCCTTTCCACCTGCTACTAAGGAGGCTGTCGAGGTCCTGAACCGGTGCTTGGCCGCTGTGACGGTCTGGATGGGGGCGAACAAATTGAAATTGAATCCAGACAAGACAGAGGTACTCCTGGTCAGTCGTAGGGCCGATCAGGGTATGGGGTTACAACCTGTGTTGGATGGGGTCGCACTCCCCCTGAAGACACAGGTTCGCAGTTTGGGTGTGATCTTGGACTCACCGCTGAGCCTGGATCCCCAGGTCTCAGCGGTGACCAGGGGAGCATTCGCACAGCTTAAAACTTGTGCGCCAACTGCGACCATACCTTGGGAAGTCTGACTTGGCCACGGTAGTCCATGCTCTGGTTACATCCCGTCTAGACTACTGCAACGCTCTCTACGTGGGGTTGCCTTTGAAGACGGCTCGGAAGCTACAACTAGTCCAACGTGCGGCGGCCATGGTACTAACTGGAGCAGGACGCAGGGAGCGCACAACTCCTCTGCTGTACCAGCTCCACTGGCTTCCGATCTGCTACCGGGCCCAATTCAAAGTGCTGGCATTGGCCTTTAAAGCCCTAAACGGTTCTGGCCCAACATCTCGTCCGAACGTATCTCGGCCTATCAGCCCACCAGGACCCTAAGATCTTCAGGGGAGGCCCTTCTCTCTATCCCGCCTGCTTCACAGGTGCGGCTCGCGGGAACGAGAGATAGGGCCTTTTCTGTGGTAGCCCCCCGGCTTTGGAATGCCCTCCCCGTAGAGATAAGATCTGCCTCTTCATTGATGGCATTTAGAAAAAAACTAAAAACGTGGATGTTTCAGCAAGCATTTGGTTAACTTGATGCAACGAAGCTAATGACCAAGGATCGGCAATCACGGACGATGAGTTTGGATTATGTTTTTAGTTAAGAGATGCACCGATTGTATTGGTGGCCCAATACTGTTTTATTGTGTATGTTTTTTTTTTTTTTTTTTTTTTTTTTTTTTTTTTTTATGCTTTTAGATTGTATATTGCTGTTCATTTTAATGCTGTAAACCGCGTTGAGTCGCCATTGTAGGCTGAGAAACGGCGGTATATAAGAGTAGTAAATAAATAAATAATAAATAAATATTATTATTGGAGGTGAAATAGAAAGGTATTATTATTATTATTATTATTATTATTATTATTATTATTGGAGGTGAAATAGAAATATATTATTATTATTATTATTATTATTATTATTATTATTATTATTATTATTGGAGATGCAATAGAACAGTGGATCTCAACCTAGGGTCCCCAGATGCTTTTGGCCTATAACTCCCAGAAATCCCAGCCAGCTTACCCACTGTTAGGATTTCTGGGAATTGAAGGCCAAAAACATCTGGGGGGCCAAGGTTGAGAACCACTGCAATAGAAAGACATTATTATTATTATTATTATTATTATTATTATTATTATTATTATTATTATTGGAGGTGAAATGGAAATATATTATTATTATTATTATTATTATTATTATTATTATTATTGGAACAGTACCTCCTTATCATTATTATTATTAATTGCTCTTGCTGTTATTATTATTTCATTTTCAATCTCATTTCTCCAATTGATGGCACTCAAGGGTTGGAGGTGAAATAGAATGATATTATTATT